TTGTTGTTGTTGTTGTTGTTATGTGCCATTGAGTTGCCTAACTCATAGAGACCCTATATACAATAGCCCTAAACTCTGCCCTATCCTGTGCCAATCTCACCATTTCCGACACACATTATAGCCATGTCTTTTTCTAACCTTGTCATGAAAATAATACCTAATCCTATATAACCTTTACACTGAAACTGGGTATGTCACCAAGACCAACTACCATTACACCCAGACATAAAATTAGTACTACAGGCATAAGAAAGACAAAAAGGAACATGGTTTTATTCTAAAGATTGGGAACCCTTTAACAAAAGAATGAATATGGTAATGAGAATATTGCTTTTCTTTTTTTCTAGATTTATCTTATGCATGGACTTTCAATGATAACCCTTTATACGTTCAAGAGGACAAAAGACGGTTTGTATCTCAAGAGACAGGAAATTTATACATTGCCAAAGTGGAGCCATCGGATGTGGGCAACTATACCTGCTTCATAACAAACAAGGAAGCTCGGAGAAGTGTGCAAGGGCCACCTACCCCCTTAGTGCAGCGCACAGATGGTAAGACGATGTGCTTTTTGGGGTATATCATTGTCTATGGCTCTTGAAGCCTGCTGGGTCGACTAAGCTCCCTGCTTCTCCCTTTCACACTGTAACCACGCCATCTATTAATTTACATTCAATGTGAAATATTCAATGAAAATTCTCTAGCTCACGTATACAATAGAGTATACATTTTTAGGATTATGTACTTTCTTGTCTCTGAAATTTGAGTGAATTATCTTGTTACCTTTTTTAAAAACAATGATTATTTCACTAAAAATATTGTTTGGTTGGGGGAGTCGATGTGTGTGTGCACGTGCGTGTGCCGTCAAGTGCATATTGGATTGTTATCATTTTAATGAACATATGATGAGCTTTAAAATGTGCCTTTCTTTTTCATATTTGTCCTTTACCCCCTTTTATTTATCTGACCAGCAAAATCCATATAAAGGTTCATATCTAAGGAAAAGAAAACAAACCAATGTTAATTATGAATGTTATAAAGAAAAGAAAGAACAACATGACCTAGATGCACATGGATTATGTTCTTCCAAGTAATGTAACTCCGCTCACTCGCTGATGAGGTTTGTAGCTGAGTGACGTCATAAGGCTAGTACAAGATTTAGAAAGCGAGAAAATCCCTAAGCAAGTCACTGAAGTGGAAAAATCCTGCGGTTGATTCTTGAATTAAATTTTCACAGTGTGAAATAGGAAGACAAATTCTGGCAATGCATTTTATGACCATATTCTGTGACCGCAATGCAATTCCTCATCGTATTTTTGTCCTTCTTGAGGAGTTTATGAAAAACAAGAACGTGATGCTGATAGTGGGTAACAAAATTGCAGAACCAGCTCCATTAAAAGCATCATCTTCTGACAGGCCTTTGCCGCTTCCTAACTCTCCATGTAGATTCCCAAGACCTCCATTCAGAATCAACCATCTCTAAATTTATCAATAAATCCAATTTATCATTGTAGTGAGGACTCTGGTAACTCTGTTGATGAATGCAAAGGATTGTGCACCGCTTCTTCTATGTCTGTCCCCTTCCCTTCCAATACCATAGTCTTTTCAATCTCCTCCATTCCTGTGAATATACTTATTGTACAAAGAGACTGGTAACTTTATACACAGTATGAAAAAATCAAAGCTGTTTTGTAAGTTGGCACTCAGGAAAGCTCAAATGTTAAAGAAATGGGAGGTGGGGAAGGGGAGCCCCAGACGGCAATGACAAATGCTCTCTCTTTTTGATTAACTGAAGCAATAGGATACCTATTCTACCTCCTTCGCCCTGCTTTATTTTATTGCTTTGGAATGATAAAGGTCATAAAATTTAGTATTTTTATTTTACATGCATTTTGTAAATCTCACACTTCTGAAACAATATGAGCTATGGATAAATCTATTTAAGAAGATATTACTGTGCTGTTAAATATATACATAAAAAGTAAAAATCAAAGTTAAAAGAAAAAAAATCAAGAAATTGGAAGTGCCATTGATTAAATCAGTTAAGTTCATGAATGTAACCAGCTTGTTGTAACTCTCTGGTGGATTGTTGTTTTTGTTGTTGTTGTTATGTGCCGTTGAGTCACTTGCGACTCATAATGACCCTATGTACAACAGCCCTAAACCCTACTCTATCCTGTGCCAATCGCACTGTCTCTGACACACCCATCCTGATTAACCCAGTCACTGAATCAATCCATCTCATAGAGGGCCTTCCTCTCCTGCACTGTCCCTCCACCCTCCCAAGCATGATGACCCTCTGAAAGGACTGGACTCTTTGCAACATGTCCAAAGTATGTCAGACGAAGCTTCAGAATCCTTGTCTCCAAGGAAGAGCCTGGCTTCACCCTCTCTAGGGTAAACCAATTTGTTCTCTTAGCAGTCCATGGTATTTTCAATACTGTTCTCCAACACCTCAGCTTAAAGGCATAATTCTGTTCCTAAAAGACATTAGACAACTGTCATGGTCCTACTTAAGAGATACCGACAATACCTTATCTAAAATGTTTAAAAATAATAAACAAATGGAAAATCCAAATAGTTTGCTTAAGTGAACAAGAAACTAATTTAACAGCGACCCTGTAACTGACATGAGAACGCATGTGCCTTTATCAATCTCCTCAGTGTGACTGACGTTTTGTTAGGGGAATGCTGGTATTACGGGTTAAGTGATGTTGCAGCATCTTCATATGGAATTCTTTGAAACTTCCTTGTCCTTAAACACATCTGACCTCACAAATTTCCTTCAGACCTGAGGGATCTGAATATCATACATGCAAAAAAGTCACAATTTAAAGTTATTTTTTAAACCCAGAAGCATTTTAGAACCTTAGGTTCTAAAACCTTCAGTGTAGCTGGTTTAAATCGAAACATCAACTCTTATTAAGACTAATGGGAAAGATAAATAGGTTTGGTCTGTCTCTAGTCTAATCCTACGGTATAGCTTAGAGAGTTGAATTTGTCCTGTTTAAGGGGGAGGAGAATGAATTAATTTCCTAAATAGCATCATGAGGTTTCTTTGCCTTCTCTCCCCTATCGAAGTATAGAAAAACAGAGCTAACTGAAAAATCAAATGATCAGGTTTTCATTAATGAAGTATTTACTTCGCAGAAAACGTCTATTCTCCAGAAATGCTGCTAGCTCTTTTGATATTTAACAGGTGTGATGGGGGAATATGAACCAAAGATTGAAGTGCGTTTTCCCGAAACAATACGAGCTGCAAAGGATTCATCTGTAAAACTGGAATGCTTTGCCCTTGGAAAGTAAGGTGGTTTTGTTTTGTTTTGTTTTGTTTTCCTAGTTGCTGTAATTTTTGTAAGCCTTTTTGTTATTCAAGCATTGCTGTAAGGTGTATTATAAAATAGATGTAAAGAGCTGGGCAAAAGTGGAACTTTCTGATTGGAATTTAAAGCAACATGCCTGATACTCTGTAAATGACTGGGGCCGCAGCTCTTCCCTAAATGTGCTGATATTTCCTCTAGTCAAGAATAATGAGACCCATCTATTCAGAATGTTGCAAGGGAATAATTGCATAAGATGATGGACGCCCCCTCCTCTCCACGCTGTCCTGCATCTAGAAATGCATTGCCTGGAGTGTCTCCTTGTGCAGTTACTCAGCAGTTCTTGTAAATGAAAGGCTTCTCTGTTCATTTCCAAACTAAGACCAATTAAAGGCCTTTGTTCAGGGTAGATAATTAGAAAGGAGCCAAACCTTTTCTGGGTGGTGCTTTTACTCAGATTCATGTTTCAGAGTCTTTAAGGCACCCAAATATTTGTATATTTGCATGGAGTAAGCAGAGTATCTCTATACCTTTTAGTAATATTTGAATTTAATGTTTACGTCATTAACCATCAGCATCCAGTGAACAAGAAATATAGGTAGCAGACATCCGCACATCGTAAACAAGAATGTCCACATGAATGCCTGGAAAGAGAGTTAAACTGGGATTCTGCTTCTGTAGTTATTGGAGTTATTGGATGAGGTCTGATTCCATTTCTAATATGATCCCAGGTAATTCTGATTCTTCTGCTCTACAAACCACATTCTGAGTCCTAAGAGGCTTAACTCTCACGATGAGTTTTGAGAACTTCTATATTCAGAGAGTCTATGTCCATTGTGACCATACAATTTAGAAAAAATGATTTACATTTCAAACTGTAAAACATCTTCAAAATCACTAGCCTTATTATTAAATACAAAAAGTAATCCAAGTAATACTGGTTACTAAATCTGCTCCTTTCTATCACTCATATTATGTGACTCTTCAAATGGAATTTCACAGGTTATTCGTTTTTCAGTTTTTAAAAGATCATATTTTATTGTTGCACCATACTAGTCCTATAATTTGCCCAGCATATAGTTTCCCACTGATTGAATGGTTTTTAAACTCATAGAGGTTTTAAATAAGTTTTGGGGTTATTCTTCTATTTTAAGAAATAATGAGCTTTAATCATATTCAAGTTTTCTCAGAAATGAAAATTTACAAAGAAATCAAATGTTTGTCAGGAAAATACTTTCTAAAGTGAATGACTGATTTTCCAAGCCAGTCAATGAGAGTAATGGTCAAAGAATATTGATAGTCTATTCCATCGTATCTGGCGTTAGAAAAGATGGATTCCTGGAATGAAAATAAATACTCTTGCATATTAAAATAACTTTGGAAGTCTTTGGGGCAAGTTCTCAAGAATCTAAACTGAGTATTTTATGAATTATTCATTACTATTATTATTATTTTTCTTTGACATTTAGATAGTAAATGCTCACTTCAGTGCATGAAGCCAAAGAGCAAATTCCATGCTATTATTGTATAAGCAGTGTTGAGTTAGTGAGGCTAAACTAGAAATAGATAACTCAGAGAAATCTAGAATTTCTTCTCTCTCCCCAGCCCAGTCCTCTTCTCCGGGAATAACTGTAGAGGCAGTATGAAAATATGAATGTTAAATTAGCATTATGGGCCAATTCTGGATTAAAAAAAATAAGAGCAGATCAAAAGAGAATGTCATTGACCAGCATCATCTTTGAATTGCCCATCTATTAGCTCTATTAATTATATTTGTTTTTATATTTGATCTACAAAATTAAAATAGAGAAGAGCTTTGCAATTTTATGTGGTCCCCTTGTCTAATATTTCATTAACAAACTTGAAAATCTCACTGCTGTTGTGTCAGAACAGACTACGAGCCCCGCCCCCTTGGATTTCCAGGGCTGTGAACGGCACAGGAGGAGACTGCCTGCCTTTGTGCTGTGGATCTGTTGGATTCAAACCCCTGGAAAGGCATGACCACTGGGTTAGCAGTGCGACTCCTCACAGGCCATGAGCCTGCACTTTCTCCTAAGAGCTTTCTGGTTCTGACTTACACAGTAGGTTCCTAAAGGAGCTGAGTGAGGAGGGAGTTGGGCTGCTATCCCAAAGGCTGTTCCTCTGCAGGTTCAAATCTGGCCAGGGTCCCAAGGAGAGAGATTGACAGCCTCCTTCTATGTGAGTTAGCACCTCAGAAACCCGCTGGAGGCTGAGCTGTGAGGCAGTGTTGAATTCCTTCATCCCTTTTGAATTTGCTTTTATTTAGGGTATGAGTCATGAATCCCATGTTATTTTTCTACATGTGAAAATCAAGTTTTCTCAATTCCTGGAATGCTTAACATTTTAAAGAAGTCAATACCACCCCAATCAATCATAAAAGGACAAATATTTCACTTAAAATGTCAAGAAAGGCAAATATACGAAGGCAGCCATTTATTAATGGTACCAGGAAATAACAGGATTAAGAGTAATGGAAGAGCGCTTTGGGGAAGGCTATGGTAGCACAGGTCTTTACGATCATTTCTGTCAGCAAGTTTACACTTGCTCAAGCTGCATTGGCAAAAATGGTTTGTAGGTTATTTACAAGGGTGATTTAGAAGAGTGATGTGTAACCAAACGCCTCATGGGACTTGAATCCTGGGTTTGGTGGTTTGAAGTCACTATTTCCTAGTAGATCACAGATAATTTGCCTAATAATGTGTTTATGCACCACTTCGGCCACCTAGAGGGTCGATAAGTACCAGCTGGAGGGTTTGCTAAGGTTCACATTGCTGTCACTCTAACTCTAGTGGTTCCGGTTCAGCCAGCCGGGGTGGGACAGGAGGATTGGGTGAACTGAGCCCCCAGCTGCCTTTCTGCTGCCACCACTGTCCTAAGACCACACTTGACAAATAATTGACATGGCTGTGCGATGTCAGCTGTGGGACCTACAGCCAGTCACATAAATTCTCTGAGCTTCAATCAGAATTGGATGTCAACATTTGGTCTGTTCACATTAAGTGTTCTGCACAATGAGAGTTTAATTTCCTCAAGTAAACACAATCTATTTGAAAATGCATTGTATGCTCTGGAAAGAATGATAAAAAACTTGAGCTACTATCAAAAGGATTTCCTTATATGTGCTTAGCAATAGTTTTCAGAAAACAAATTACATTGTAGTTAAAATATTGAAAATGTTTCTAAGTCTATTATAAGTTCTGACATTTAGCAAACATTAAAATAACTTTACTAACCACACAGGATTACAAACATAAAAAATACACTGCCTAGAAAATTAGTTATCTTCAAGGCATAATTAAAATCTTTAACAAAATAAAATATCTTGCCTTTTAAATTTGAAATGTATATTTGTAGAATCATTGCCAAGAATTCTTATAAACTCTGTTGAACAATAGTTGTAAAACATAATCCTTAATGAATTTTCATAAAAATATTGCCACTTAGCATTTATTTTTAATAGTCACCAAACATGGAGACTGCTTTACATAGATCTATCAGAATATTCTTGTCTACTTTGGGAGCTGAAACTGAGGAAGACCTCATGCACTTGCTGTAGAGGTCAAGGACTGCAGCCTTCAGTATGGACT